TAGTTTCTTCCAGTTGAGATAAATGAGAAAAAACACATATTCTCCATACCTGGTCTCAATTATACTTAAAGTTCTTACTCATTATTAATGCAATTCCATCAAAGTTATCAAAATACAGCAATTGGAAATTTCTGAAAATTTTACAAAATTGAAGATTATAGTCTGACAAATTGTGAAATCTCATGATTTTCATGGTATTTGGCAAACTGATGTAGGAATAATAAACAGAATCTCCAAATTATATATGATATGTACATATATACACACATACATATATACCAACAAACATATAACAACAAGCTCATCATCACTGGTCATTAGAGAAATGCAAATTAAAACCACATTGAGATACTATCTCATGCCAATTAGAATGGTGATTACTAAAAAGTCAGGAAATAACAGATGCTGGGGAGGATGTGGAGAAATAAGAATGCTTTTATACCATTGCTGGGAGTGTAAATTAGTTCAACCACTGTGAAAGACAGTGTGGTGATTCCTCAAAGTTCTAAAAGTAGAAATACCATTTGACCCAGCAATCTTATTACTGAGTATATACCCAAAGGATTGTAAATAATTCTACTGTAAAGACACATGCACACATATGTTTATTATGGCACTGTTCAAATAGCAAAGACTTGTAACCAACCCAAATGCCCATCAGTAATAGACTAGATAAAGAAAATGTGGCACATATACACCATGGAATACTATGTAACCATAAAAAGGATGAGTTCATGTCCTTGGCAGGGACACAGATGAAGCTCAAAACCATCATTCACAGCAAAGTAATACAGGAACAGAAAACTAAACACTTCATGTTCTCACTTATAAGTGGGAGCTGAACAATGAGAACACATGGGCACAGGAGACAAACATCACACATCAGGGCCTGTTGGGGGCTGGGGGGCTAGGGGAGGGAAAGCATTAAGAGAAATACCTAATTTAGATAATGGGTTGATGGGCACAGCAAACCACACGGCACGTGTATACCTAGGTAACAAACCTGCATATTTTGCACGTGTACTCCAGAACTTAAAGTATAAAAACAGTAAAAAATAGATTGTCACTTATCTAGCCCTCTACATGTTATAATACATTTGTATAAGAGCTACTCAGTCTAATAGTTTAGTAATAATTTTAAAATTGTTAAAAATTGTTTATATTATGACAAGTATATTTTATTTTTTAAAACTTTATATGTTTACTAATGTAAACATATAAAGAAGAAAAATACATTAATTTTCAATATTAAATGTCACCATATAATTAGATTCATAACTAAAGTTTAATTTACAGGTAACTAATTTGTAGCAGTTTATATATTGATCAACTTAAGAAATACAGAAACTATACTTTCATTACCAGGAAAAAGATTTTGCACAGAAATCACTATGATACACTGTTGTAGATATTCATATACAGAGTGCACCTTGTATTTTACCTCTTCTGAAGGAAATACTGTATCAGCTCAAGAAGTACATTAATAAAATTATTTAGGAGTCATATACTACTTCTGCACACACACACACACGTCACATTTTTTTTGTTAACATAAATCAAACATGTCTTTTGACTAAGTTTACTTTAAGACTGGGTTGAGAACAAAAGATACGTTATCCTTCAAGCTACAGAAGATCAGGGAGGCTTTCTCTCTCTCAGGAGTAGAAATCTCTCAGATCCTCATCAGTGAATCTTGTTTCTGGAAATATTTGTCCTTTCTGAATATGAAGCCAGGTTCTTATAGAAAAGCAGGAGGCAAATCAAGATATTTCTTAACTTTGCAAGCTCTTTCTTCTTTGGAGTTTTTCCAAAGAATAGGTTTTATGTGAAACAAACTAATAGCTTCAAGTTACAGCCCATTGAAAGTGGTCTGATTACTATTATCTGCACCCATGCAGTAATGTGACACCTTATCTAGATAGTGAGGCCAGGGGGCCAACCGTAGTGATAAATTTTACATTTCAAGAAAATGTGTTTTTGATGCTAAATCAGCTCACTTATTTCCTTCAATGCCCTCTTACTTTGATATTTGCATACATAAAAAGTATGTGATTGAAAAGAAAACTGAGCAGAATTATTCACAATTTTTCCCCTAACTAATCTACAGATTTTATTTGGATTTCATCAGTTTTTTTTGGCTAATGTCCATTTTCTATTCCAGAATCCAAAAGAGAAAACCATATTGTATTTAGTCATTATCATCATAGTCTAGTCTGATACAATTTCTCTGTGTCTTCTTTGTTTTCATAATCTTGGCATTTTCTAAAATCACTGGTTAAGTGTTTTGTAGGCTGCCCTTCAATGTGGGATCTAAAGCTTTCTCATGATTTGACTAGCTTTATGAAATTTCTGGGAATAATGTCATAGAGATGAAAGTCCCTTTTTGTTATAGCATCTTATCAGGTGGTACCTGACATCAACATGACTTATCCTGATGATCTAAACGGTGACAGTTTATTTAAGGTGGTGGCTGCCAAGTTTTTCCACTGAAAAGATAGTGCTTTTCCTTTTTTGGAAGTGAGCCATTAAGTCTAGTCCACATTCAAGAGGAGAGGAATTAAAATCCAACTCCTGAATGGGAAAGTATGTTTATATGTTATTTGAACTACTTCTACACAGATTTGCTCTTCCTCCCATGTTTTATATTCAATCATTTTTATAGCAGTATGAACTCAAAAATATGCATTTTATACATTGGGTTATAACCTTGTACTAACCTATTTATTTTGGTGTTTATATTGTTCCAGCTTTGTCCTTTGAAGCTCTTTCCTTCCTGTATTTTATGCTTCTTCTGTTCTCTCTTTTTCTTTTTATCTCTAGTGAAGTGACATTTTAGCGCTGAAAGGTGCTCCAGGCTCATATTACATTTTCCCTGTTTTAATTCTAGAATGAAACCTTTCTTTAAAAAACTCTGGTTTCTTTCATTGGAGAATGATATTTAGAAACAAGATCTGATTGCTCAGTTTTCCCAATTCAGTTTAAAAATATACCACATAGGATCATCATATGATCACAAAATGTTTTATAACAAAAGATATTTTAGTAGAATTATAAGTTATGATATTGGAGGGGAGTTGAGACAGCATCACAAACAAATATGTAAACAATTACACAATTATCATATGTGAACTTGAAAGGTGTTTTGTTAACTGTTACATAAATGTTTTATTTATTTATTTATTTATTATTCCATCCCCTTGTCTTGTGTCAGGAGGTGAAATACTTGCAATCTATATGAAATATTACAGCTGCTTAAGTTGGTCACAATCTAGTGGGAGAGTTGCCTAAATAAATTAATTATAGAAGAATAAAGAAAGTGCAAAAACAGTGGTATGAACTAAGTGCATACAAGCAAAGGGAATAACAAAAAAGAACAGTAAACTCAGTGTTGAGAAGTCCCCTCACTAGAATGGCATTTAAATACTGTCTCAATGAAGACTAGCGACTTGGAAGATGAAAGTTTAGTGATCCTCATGTGGACAGAAAGTTAGAAATTACATGCATAAGGGTGTGGTGGCTTACACCTGTGATCTCAGCAGGTCCGGAGGCCGAGGTACGTAGATCACCAGGTCAAGAGATCCAGACCATCCTGGCCAACATGGTGAATCCCCATCTGTACTAAAAATACAAAAATTATCTGGGTGTGGTAATGGGCACCTGTAGTCCCAGCTTTTGGGAGACTGAGGCAGGAGAATCTCTTGAACCTGGGAGGCAGAGGTTTCAATGAGCTGCGATGGAATCACTGCACTCCAGCCTGGTGACAGAGCAAAACTCCATCAAAAAAAGAAAGAAAGAAGAAAGAAGAAAGAAAGAAAAAGAAAGAAAGAAGGAAAGAAAGAAAGAAGAAAGAAAAGAAAGAATTCCATGCATAGAAAATTTCCACTGTTCTATATGAAATCATGAATAAAGTCATCAAAGTAATATGAATATTCATTAAAGCAGGAGTAATTCAGTATTACTGGAATTATTCTAGATGCACATGGGAGTGCATTAGAAGATGAGACTGGAGAAGTAGATTGGGACAAGAGACTGTAAAGAGAATTTTTCAAACTAGCCCATATAAATACATGGAGTCTCTACTGTAATTCCTATTATTTGAAAGTTCGAAATGAACTTGTGATAAGACAGTTTTGCTTACCTTTTAATTCTCAGCTGAAGATTGGGAATGTGCCATATTGATTCTAGTTTAGTACAATTTATTAATATAGTTAGAGAAGGCTTCTGTTGCCAGAGATTTGGGATTAAGAACGAGGCTCTGTCAATTATGAACTATGTAATCTTGAACAGATTAGATTATTTTACCTCTTGGATGCTTATCTCACCTAAAAACAGTAGAGAAATAAACACTTCTTAAGGATTTTGTAAAGATTAATTGCAATACTACAGGACACATCTAGGCAGAGTGTAAACTCAATAAATGTCAACAAATATTATTTAAATTTTGTCACAGTGATTATATTGGGCATGATATATAATAGAGCTACAAAAACTAGCTGGCTGGTCATGCCCATAGGACCTGACTATATCTATAGTGAACAAATCCTTTGATAAAGGGACAATTGTCACAAATAATTGGGGGACTAAGAATCACAAAAGTGAAAAAGACCTTACATATTAGCTATGTCTTTCTATTGCCAAGGAAACGTCTTTAAAAAGTTAACCTGACTTAAATAAGTCACTGAGGAAGTTGGTACAGAGCACATAGAGACCAAGCCTCCCTGTCTTTATTTAGTATCTCCTTGTCAGATACACAAAATCCGTCCTTCTCATATAATTATTGTATTGATTAGTTAATGCTTGGATTATCTTCTAAATAATTACACAATTTGTTAAAAAATATAAGTATAAATTAACTAAAAATATAGTCACATGAACTTTTGTAAAAATTTTAATAGGAAAAATACCATAGTATAATTTGTATATGATTTATTTTATTCTCCATCTTCTGGCCCCTTTGCTAACATATTGATTTTGTTTATATTTGTTCATTTTTGAGACAGAGTTTTGCTCTGTTGCCCAGGCTGGAGTGCAGTGGCATGATCTTGGCTCACTACAACCTCTACCTCTCAGGTTCAAGTAATTCTCCTGCTTCAGCCTCTCAAGTCGTTGGAACTATAGGCATGCACTATCACACCCAGGTAATTTTTTTTTTGAGATGTAGTTTAGCCATGTTTGCCGGGCTGGTCTTGAACCCCTGACCTGAAGTAATCTGCCCGCCTCGGCCTCCCAAAGTGCTGGGATTACAGCCGTGAGCCACTCCACCCGGCTTCATATTGGTTTCATTCAATTGAATAGTGGGGTATCCAGGTACTTTAAGCATTTCTTCAACTTTTCTAATATTGTGCATAAAATTATGCCAATTTCAAATAAATTTTAAAAACACAATTTGAATTACACTTGACAATTTAAAAAAATACTCTCCAAGGGGCTCAACTGTAATAACTATATTCAAATACAGAAGTATTAATAACTAATGACTAAGGTAGCATAGTTTATATGAATCAAGATTATCATTAAGTTTAAAAAAATATACTGGTTCTTCTTTTCATATATCTTTGATAAAACAGTCTCTTCATATTTTAAGTCTCTCTTCACCCAGTCCTTAATAATAATGTGGTCAAAATCTAAATAACCGCAAAAGATTAACCACTAGTGTATGTTGTTTTATTTAATTGCTAATATTATTCAGTCTACCCTTTGAAAAGGAGACAAAAGTTAAGGAAAACTTTGCTGTTATGGGTCGATTTAAATTTCTGGGTGTATTGTAGTCTTGAGATAAAATTAGCAAAATTACTAATGTTTTCCATAGTGGTGATACTTGACAATACATTGTTTTTCAAAATACATACTCAAGAGAACTTCCAAAATATTCTGTGACTCTTGTTAAAGTGCAGAGTCACGGACTTAATAACATAACACCTGAGTTAGAATCTCCAAGGATACATGTTTAACAAGTTGCCGGTGTGTTTCCTAAGCTGATATGATTTGGCTGTGTGTCCTCCATGCCCGCAATCTCATATGGAATTATAATCCCCACATGTCAAAGAAGGGACCTGGTAGAGTCAATTTGATCATGGAGGTGGTTTCCCCCATGATGTGCTCATGATAGTGAGTTTGCACAAGATCTGATATTTTATAGGTGTTTGACAGTTCTTCTTTCACACCCTCGCTTTCTGTCTTCTGCAGCCTCAGGAAGAAGGTGCCTGCAACTCTTTCTGCCATGATTGTTAGTTTCCTGAAGCCTCCCAACCATGTGGAACTGTGAGTCAATTAAGTCACTTTCCTTTATAAACTACCCGATCTCAGGGAAGTTCTTTATAGCAGTGTGAAAACAAGCTAAGACATAAGTTTTTTTGTGGTAAAGAACAACCTCTGGTATTCTGGCCCTTTAAGAGCTTGAGTATTCAAAAAATAATGTTCTGTTCAGCAAAGCCTTAATATTTGCCACAGTACATTATATTCTCACTTAAGAATTTTCAAGTTAACTGAATATACATTCTCAAAAATTCTAGTTAATGGAATTAACATAACTTTTCTGTGACTATATGGAAATTATCTTACATGCTGAAAATTCAGAGGTATACATAATTAGACTTTGTTTGGCTATATATGTAAACACCATATTATTTGAATAATTTTGATTGAATAACTATTTTCTAATTTGGATTTATATCCACCAGCAAAGGTCATTATATAGTAACATTTATTTATTTTATTATTACTCTGACATATTTTCTAAAATTTGTATCTTCATTTAAAAATTTTATAAACTGTATATAATATTTATTATACATGATGTATTGCTTTATGAACTATTCAAATATTAAATTATGTAATTTTATAACAATTCTAAGAGCTAGGTGCTATTATTTTCTCCATTTCACAGCCAAAGAAACTGAGGTATAGAGAAGTTATATAATTTACCCAAGACCTTGCAATTACCCTAGGATGATGAAACCAGAATGCAAACCCAGACTTTCTAGCCAAGCGTCTATAATTTTAACTCATATTCTGCTGCCTGTGACATGAGATTGATAAATTTCTTTGAGGTCAAAAGTTGGAAGCTTTAACTTTATTGGGCTTTCTGCCTAATTCTTTCTATAGTAAGTGAAAAAGTGACCAATTTAAAAAAACATCTGTTTGAACAAGTCTTAATAGAAATAAATTCTTTTGGAAGGCTTCTCTAAAATAATGTCTTATTTTATCTTGCAGGATTTGTAATTAAAAATTATTTCTTCAAAAATCAACATTCCAACTTAGTGTGATTAAATCCTGACTTTTATTTTCCTCTTGTAAAATCGGTCACCAATCAAAAAAAAGGAATTGCAGAGGGTTTTGTTTTGTGTTTGACTTCACTATTTCTATTACAGTAGCTCTTCATCACCATGGACTTGAATGTTAAGAAAAAAAATTAATATGGCTTATAGCAGTAATCCTCTTAAATGCTTGAGACTTTGCCAGCTTTCAACTAACAAGCCAGGTTATTAACGGCTGCAGTCCTACAACACTCTGGGATTATTGTCTAGGTCTGCTGACGAGGCATTGCTAGTGACCAGTTTGTAAAATGCAATCTGTTATTTTATTTCATAACCTGATCAATGATTAAAACTGCTTGAAGTACAAAAATCTGCCTTCCCAACCAGCTGACGATTTTTGCAACATAGAATTGAATGGCTTCTTTTATGTGTGATTAAAGGTTCTGATTATTACCTGTGTAAGTTATCTGGCAGCTTTTTTGGGGGGCTTTTGGTTTGATCAAGTAAACTTGAAAAGAACATCAAGATTAAAAAAAAATTAACATTACCTTTAACTAAAAAAAATGACAGCTCTGTCAGAAGACTGTCTCCCCTCACCTGATTCTTAATATGGAGTTTCTGACAAGTGTAGAGATTTGCCTTAATTATTTATTCATTTCATTGAAATCATCTTCATCTGCTTTAAATTTCTAATAAGTCTATTTAAATAAAGAGAATCCTGTTTGAATGTTGATTTTATACCTTAAAAATCATGAAGGCGTCTGTGTTTATAACAAAGTGCAGATGAGGCTATGGTAATGGTTATAAGTGGCCGGAATAAAATTGCAAATCCCATTAGCTAATGACAATAATGGCATATGAAACAAAGTTAGAATAAAATAGTTACAGATATCAGTAGATTAGAAAACAATCATAAGTCATTATTGCTGCTGGAAAATATGAAAGATGTAATCTGAAAACAAAGGAAAAATAATCCATACTTTCTCACCTTTATGATCTGAACAAGTTACAACATGTAGAACACTTGCCTTTGGTACCATCAATAGAGTGTTTGCCTTGTTCCTTGTGCCTAGGTTCAGGCTTTAAAACCTGGATTCAGGTTTTGAAATAATGAGTTGTTAGACTGGCTTGGTTTGATTGTCTTATTAAAAACCCAATAGCTCTGATATGAAGAGTTTCTGAAGCTCTATTATTTTTGTTTCCCCTGTGGAAATCCAGATTATGTCCTGCAAATTTGCTTTTCATAGTTATCCAAATTCATCATAAATTCAGCTACTGGCCCCCACCCTTTGCAAAAGTCCCTTTTCCAGTAAAGTATGTGTATTGAAAGTGTTAAGTATTGGGATTTAAATATAGCACAATAGATCTGAAGATAGGTGAGAGAGATGTCTGGTATGGTGGACGTTTTATTTTCAGTTTAGTTCTAAGGATGGGTTTTTCTGTCTTTTAAATAAGAGTAGATGAGAGACAGGTTGGAAATATGTTTTTAAAAATTCCTCCTAAATATAGACAGAGACAAACACACAGATACATGTAAGTTTAAAGAATAGCATTACAGATGGGAGAATAAAAAGCAAGACAGATGTGTGCAGAAAGGAAAAGTAGGCAATTATTCCTACCTGAAATTTTCACTCATAACTCTTGTGAGAATACTATATCCTGTATGTGACAAGTATCAAAACTGTATTTTGGTAAGAAAGGTTATAAGGAAAATATGTTTTTTCAGTCTTATATTTTGAAAATTTCTAACTTCTTTGCTTCTTAGTTGCTTAGATTTCTGAAAAGGAAATTGGAAATCTGAAAAAAAAATTCTTTAGAATTTTTAAGTATTGGAAATCTGAAAAAAATCCTTGAGAATTTTAAAGTAACTTGTCTTACAAATTATTTTGATGCTATTGACCATTCCACCTAATTCAATACCATTATACCTAATGAAAAAAATAACAATAAAATTAAAATATTCGCCCTGTCTGGAAGCCTTTATGAAAACTAAACATGGCATTCTGAAATTTCAGGATGATATATCTTGTGTTTTGTCCCCCAATCCTTTTGATAAGAATTCATGGAGCCCTTGCATTCTGCAAATCTTTGCAGTACTATTTGGTAAAAACTAAACACAAGAGTGGAAAATAATAGCTGTCAATATTACTTTTGCCCCATTCCAATTTATTCCACCCTATGTAGTATTAAATTGGAATCATAGAGTAGAAATTCACCAATCACGGAGAGCAAGCTTAAGTTTTTGATCCATTTTAACCTTCAAATCTCCCTACCAATGATTTTTTTAGCAATTTTTATCTCAATGTAAGAAAGTTGCATGTGTCTTTTTAAGTCATATTTTGTAGGAGATAATCAGGATACAGAACTAAATTAATGAATGAGAAGTTTCTTCAAATACAAGTTAAAACCAAAAACAGGCTATAATGAGGACACAACTATGGGACAAAGGCAGTTATCTCTTACCATATAGTTTATGGTAAGAATTGGCTACTTAAAAACTTTATTATATGTGGGATGGAAAAAAAAGTTCCTCTTCAAAGTTTCCTTTCTTGTTTAAGAAAAATAGTTTGTTTTAAACACTTTCTTCCAAAGCCTTTTTGCCTTTTCGTTGAAAGTACAATCCTATGTAGCTGTTCAACATGCTTACAGGTGGGTAATACATTCTATGTCCTTGTTCTTTAACCAAGTTATCTGTGCTGGAAATGCTCACAGGCATGTCCCAGCTCACAGCTCATGTCCCTTCCTTATTTGGACTACGGTTTTTTGCTTTCCATTGCTTTTACCTATTTAGAAAAGTTTCAACTTATTAGCCAATCGGATTATAGTTTAGATTGTGTGGTCTGGCTCCAGCCAACGGAGATCAGACACAGCAGTAAGGACAACCCCAACTGCGTAAGAAATAAATATGTCTGCTTTCCTTTGTTTGTTGTACTCTCATGGCAAGATTGCTAGTGGGAGTACCCTTTATGCAGGAAGTAGAAAGAATTGTTTTGCTGAGAGATCCTTTGTTTCAGTACTAATTTTTCTCTGTAACACCAAAAAGAAAAATGTTATACATAACATTATATTTTTAAACTGGTAAATGCAGTGTAATTTTCTATAGATATAACCATGGGCCAAAACTGAGGTTTTATAAAATTACTTTAATAAATTCTGATAACCCATTTATGTATTTTATTCAAAGAAGTCTAATTCTGCATGTAAAGTTTAAGTGATTAGACCAAGAGCATACACTTAAATGTATCTACATATTATGTACTAAAGAAGAAACCATATATGTTTGTGGTGATGCATTAGAAGTTGAAAAGCTGGATCTGCATCTTCAATCCATTCTTGTCAAAGATTCTGATATTTCCAAAGTCTATGTAAATATACATGGATTTTCCTCCATTAGGTAAAAATAACATGTGTGAAGATGAAATAGCACAAGAATGTATCCATACAACATTCATATGGATAATTTGAGAAGTATAATATGGCATATAATTTCTAAAATATGGAAAAGGTGTTTGATATATACATATATATCTCCTATGAATCTGACAAATTATAATATATAATAATACACAGGCCTCTTATAGCACCTTGTTCCTGAAATTCTTAAGGGATTTTCACATTGGTTATCTCATTTGTTTACACAACATTCCTGTGAGCTGGAAAATATTACCATACTGTGATATCCTTTTAACAAGGAGTGCTTTGGAAGCTACATTTTCAACTACAGAATGGCTCAATCAATGACAGAAGGCAGCTTTAGGAAAAATTGTAGATATACCACTGTGGATACTATCCACTTAAAAATATTCTCCACAATATATTTATCAGCATTGTCTGGTATATAAAGTGGTAAGAGAGTACTTTTTACACTGAATTATATAACAACTCCTAATCTCCCCAACATTGGATTAAATTGGATTAAGCATGTGGTAGGAACAGTAATAATAAAATTAGTAATGGAAATGATGGAGGTGGGTAAAGACTAAACCAAATTCTATATAGTTCCCAATATTCAGAAAGATGTCTAAAAAATACTTGGATTTCAATATTACATGAAGATTGAGGCCTTTGTTCATTGTTTTTTTGATGGAAAAGAAAAGAAATCTGAAGGCTTTGCCAGATTTTTCAGTGGGATGCTTCTGACAAGTGATCAAATCATTGAACACTCTTCTTGAAAAATAATGTTCAGACGTAGTCTAAGTATACGCCCTGTGACAGCATGAACAACCTTTCCTCTATGTTGACATTCATTCTAATAATAGAAAATGTAGACAGAATATCTAACACCCTCACCACACCAAAAAAGACCGTGACTTCATGTCTGTGATATAAAATTCTTATTAATGGAAATACTCTCATTTTTTAAAAATGGTTTTGAAACTGCATTTTTACTTCTGATTACATGTTACCAAAACAATAAGAAGTGTGGTAGATAGAAGCACAATGAAACTTAAGAAATAATAGTATTATTCAAACAATTGTAAACGTTGCCTAGTAAAATGATGGCACCCATTACATCAGGAAATTGACATATTTTATAGAAATATATAAACAAATAGCTTGTCAATGCTTCTAAAATTAGAGATACATTTTAAAGTAATTTTTAGTATGAAAATTTTCAAATACACAAAAGTACACAGTATATTATAAAGATTTTTCTTGCACCCATCACTACAGCCAACTTGATGTTATGGAGATCCTACCACATTAATCACTTGCTTAAGTAAACAGATTATTTTAAAGAAAATCCCCATTTCATATCAGTTAGCAGTAAATGACTTCAGTATATATACCTAAGATCTATAAGATATTTTTCTAAGACATACTCCATATTATCAAACCATTCAAACATTAGCAACAATTTCTTGTTATCAATTGAGTTAGTATTTCAGGTTTCTCTCATCATCTACTTTTTAATTGTTTATAAAATGTTCATATAATACAATCAGTTGATGTACCTCAGTCTTTTTTTTAATCAGTAAGTTAACCCTCGATTCTGCTTTCTATTCCTTGTGACTCATTTTTAAGGTAGCCGGGCCATTGCCATGACAACAATTTTGTTCATTTCGTAACTGTCTAGTTATACTCCATGCCACTCTATTACTTATATTTCTTCTAAATTCATAAGTAGATATATGACTTCTGTTTGATCTAAGTCAGATTTGAGTTTTTTATAAGAATGCCTATTTTCTCCTAGTTGTAAGACTCAAAATCTTTGTAACTACGTATCAATGAAAGACTATGTACTTTGTGCCTAATTAAATCTCATTAAGTTTTAGTTCTACCCTTTACTAGCTTTAGTGTCTGACCCGAAGCAAATTGTATACTTATTTGTCACTCAGCTTCCACACAGTATGCTTCTTGTTTCTTCTCTCACTTCAATGCACTGTGATCTTTAAAAAATCGTTTTAGTTTGTCATTATTGAAACACATGCCTTTTCCTCCGTAACTTTTTTCTGTAAGAATGGGAGGAATAATTCTGCTGTGAGACTATTGGCAGGTTATCTTTTATAAAATGTTTTGGTGTCTGATTATTGACCTACAGAGGTAAAGAAGTATCGTCAAAACATGATTTTTTTTTTTTTTTTTTTTTAGTAGCTAAACATACACTAATAGGATAGGGGCTACAAGGTATTATAATTATTTTCTGTTAATATTTTATGAAAGAATGTGTTGAAACAGGCCATCTTGCAACCCTCTGATAAGTCATGAGAGTGAAATACATGCAGCTAACTTAGCAGAGGCAAGGATGGTTTTCATAGAGTCTGATGCGAGAGGAGTTACAACTTTGGAGATCAAAGCATTTTGGGGCTGAACAACAACAACAAAAGACTAAGGTGAATCTGTTTGGAATTACATACCGTTTATTTTGGGGAGAAACTGCAACTGCTTTTTTTAATGTTTGTGTGTTATTATTATACATTAGTCACATCTAATGACTTGTTTTCTGTTTTTTGTTTGTTTGTTGGTTTGAGATGGAGCTCTCGCCAAACTAAAGTGCAGTGGCGCGAACTCGAACTGGGCTTACTGCAACCTGCGCCTCCCAGGTTCAAACATTTCTCTGCCTCAGCCTCCTGAGTAACTGGGACGACAAGCGCGGACCACCATGCCCATCTAATTTTTTGTATTTTAGTAGAGACGGGGTTTCACCATGTTTGCCAGGATGGTCTCAATCTCCTGACCTCGTGATCCGCTCACATTGGCCTCCCAAAGTGCTGAGATTACAGGAGTGAGCCACTGCTACTGGCCGTTATGATTTGTTTTAAGCAGAGTCTGAATCATAAATTGTAATTTTTTAAAGTGAAAGAGTTTTTTAATTATTTTTGTATGTACATCTATCTTATGTTCTGGCTATGTAACCCATAATTGTACACTTCAGAGTGGTAAGTGATATCCAAAGCATTTCTAAAAAAGCACAGGTTAACCCTATTTTAGTGGCTCAAATGTCATAAAACACATATACCACATGATAAACATTTATTGAGCACAGAAAAAGCCAAATAGTATAAAGTCCTAAAAATCACATAATTTCAAAACACTGAAGGAATTGGGGACTTTAAACCAAACACAACGAATTGGCTTGGACCAAATTCTTCATTCACAAAATAATCTGTCTTCATAGTTTTAAAAAGGATTGTGACTTATCAAGTGCAATTATGTCTATATTACATAAAAGTGAGAGATTCTTAAAAATAGAAAGAGTTAAAGAACAGACTAATTTTACTTAATATGTGAAATATTTCTATCATTTGAGTTGATTCAAAACAAAGTCAATTCTTTCTAGGTCTCACTTAACTATAGCTAATTTGCACACATATGGTACTATTGCACAGCTCAGTGATGGATCAAATAATGAAACTGATTGTTTTGTCATTGTATTTTTGTGTCCCCTCAACATTCATATAGTGAAACCCTATCTCTCAATGTGACGGTATTAGTAGGTAGGTCTTTGACAGATAATTAGACAAAGCTATTGGGGCCCTCACGAATGGGATTCGAGCTCATAAAGAAAGAAAAAGAAAAAAAAAGAAAGAAGAGGCACTAGAGCTTGCTTACTTTTTCTCTTCTCTCTGCCATGTGCAGATGCAACTAGAAGACAGTCATCGGCAAACCAGGAATAGTGTCCTCACCAGACACTGGATCTTCAGGTACGTTAAAATGGGACCTCATGCCAGGTAGAATGGTGATCCTTAAAAAATCTGGAGACATCAGATGCTGGAGAGGATGTGGAGAAATAGGAACACTTCTACACTGCTGGTGGGAGCGTAAATTAGTTCAACCATTGTGGAAGACAGTGTGGCGATTCCTCAAGGACCTAGAAATAGAAATTCCATTTGATCCAGCAATCCCATTACTGGGTATATATCCAAAGGATTATAAATCGTTCTACTATAAGGACACATGCACACAAATGTTCATTGCAGCACTGTTTACAATAGCAAAGACCTGGAACCAACCCAAATGCCCATCGATGATAGACTGGACTGGGAAAATGTGGCACATATACACCATGGAATATTATGCAGCAATCAAAAATGTTGAGTTTGTGTCCTTTGTAGGGACATGGATGAATCTGGAGAACATCATTCTCAGCAAACTGACGCAAGAACAGAAAATGAAATACCGCATATTCTCACTCATAGTTGGGTGATGAACAATGAGAACACATGGACACAGGGAAGGGAGCACTACACACTGGGATCTATTGGGGGGAATAGGGAAGGGACAGCAGAGGGGGAGAGCTGTGGAGGGATAGCCTGGGGAGAAATGCCAAATGTGGGTGAAGGGGAGTAAGGCAGCAAATCACACTGCCATGTGTGTACCTATGCAACTATCTTGCATGTTCTGCACATGTACCCCAAGACCTAAAATGCAACAAAAAAAAATAGAAAAAAAAAATGGGACTTCTCAACCTCCATAACTGTGAGAGGAAAATGTGTGTTGCTTAGGCTACCCTGCCAGTCTATGGTAATTTGTTATAGCAGCCTTAACTAAGACATTGCCCTATCAATTTTTCTATTACTCTGAGGTTCTACTTCTGAGTGTCACTGATAATAGTATGCTTGGAAAGGTATACCTACAAGATTTAAGACAAAAAAAATAGTCCAACTGAAAAGAATACTTATTTTTATAATTTAAAATTGGAATGGAATCAAAGTGGATAATTCCGTGAAATACATATAAATTTATGGTTGAAATTAACTATATTTTTACTCTCTATTTCTATTTTGATTTGAAAAGTTACAATCATTACCCATTCTAGCTGTATCCTATGGTGAAATCTACTGGCATATTATAAAAGCTGTCAGAGGGAAAGAAATGTTGGCAAGCCATCAGTTGGCAAATGTGAACAGAGGTCTTGGCTCTGATCTTAAGGACAGACATTATCAATTTGGAGAAATGATTTTGTACACCATGGGTGTGTTTTATTTATTAATTTATTTGTGGTACAGATGTAAGTCAAATGCTTTATTTGCTAAAACATCTAAAACTAATTGTTTTTGTTCAAGAATAGATTAGAATGATCCAGAATTTTCCATAATGTATTCTTAAAAACTCAATATATAAGGCACATAATCAATTACAGCTTTAAAATCAAACAACAAGCTAACAAAGCACAAAAAACACAACACTTCATATTTATCAAATATGTGTGTCCTTTCTGAGAATTACTGGACTCAATCTGTAGAGAAGTAAGAAGTAGGTGGGATTCCTTCATACTGTCTTCCCTCAAATTCAGGGACCTAATTTTGCCAATGTAACATTTTGCAGATTGAAGAACAGGAATTATAGCCTTATTATTTAAAGGAAAGTTTGAGAATCAGAAAAGAAAAATATCTATAGAAAAATAGAATTTTTTCTTCCTTGAAATTATACCTTCATTAAAAACAGGCAAAAGTAAAGTTTAGACATGACTACTAGGTTCCAACTCTAGGTAGTGGCAATATAGGAATAAACAAATATCATCAGAGCCGTAAATTAATTAGACAAATAAGGAAATATAAATTGGTACAAGCTTTTAGGAGACAACATTTATTTAATGCTTTAAAAATTGTCATATAACTTAGGGATACAAATTTCTGTTTCAATAATTCACTGTAAGGATAAAATCATATACGTTTAGAAATGTTTATGTAGAGGATGGTGTGTGTGCATATCTGTGTATATGTAATTTGTACATGATTAATATACTATAGAAAATAATGCATTTATGCAAAAAATATGATACAGGCTCTCAAAAGCCTGTAGTAAGCTCATACTTTATAGTATGAGTACTTTTAAATAAGTGCAATTTCAGTAGAAAAATACATGTAGCGTGATCTAAATGTATGTAAGTTTAGATGTGTATTGATGTATTTAACTCAGTGATCATGTGCTAATTTTTTAATGAGAAAAATATTCCAGTTTATATCATAGTGATAAAGTATCGCGTATTACCCTTGAAGAGGGGGTAGGGACAACTGGAAAGCACATCAGTAATGAAATTCAAAAATATTGTAATTCCCTCAAGTTTTTTTTTAAGGCCCAAATAACCTATCCATATCATAGTTGTACCTTTTGGAACTTATACTTAGAGGACAGAATTGCTATCTCAGGTAAACAACTACTCTATGTGACTTGGAATCCAACATCATCAATGAATTTTAATTTTCTTAGTGTGACTCTTTCATATCATTGCATGTCACTGGAGAAAAATCATATTTAAGACATTTATAAAATATATTGTTGTAAAACAATGTCAGGAAGAAACAAAAATAATACTGGTTTGAATTTAAAATCTACCCCTCACCATTTGCATAATTTTAGGCAAATCACTACAACCTATTTTGTTTTATGCAACAAAAGAGCTCTTTATGTCTAAAATCTTTTCACATCTCAAAATTCTACATTTATTATGAGAAAACAAATTAGACATCAGAGCATAGGACTCAGGCATAGCTCATAGGCATAGCTCAGAAAATTCCCATGGAGTGTAAAGAAATTTAAAGAATTGAATGTGAAGATGAGGGAAGACATGGGTGTAAATACAAAAGAATAGTGAGTTTCAATATTATAAATAAAATTTTACTTTGCAAAATTTAAGATTACATTATCATTTTGTACTAATAAGGGAAAGGATGAAGCAGTTAATAATACCTGAAATGCTGACCACACAAAATATACCATGTATTATAACTTACGTACTTCTCGCAAACTTGGGTACAAAATTTATAAATAATCCCATTTTACCATTGGGAATTTAGGTGCAGGGCTGATAAGCAACATACTGCCAAAGTGCCTATAGTAGCAAGTGTCATGGCTAGATTTTCAAACCTTTCCTGCATATATTTCTACTGGACTGGAGTATAGAAAAGGAGGTAAGAAGGAGTATGCATTTCCATCCTGCTATTTTATGTTATAAAGACCCAGGTCGGTCATTTATGAAAATAATTCCTGGCAAAAATCAAACATATGTTTATGATTATAATAACACAATCCTCTATCAGAGTAAGAAATTTATTTCATACAATTTTATCAGCTCTCTCTCTCTATCTCCCCCCGCCCCCCACTCTGTCTCTCTCTCACTGTGTCTATATGTGTGTGTATATAGAGAGAGTCAGAGATCTTTAACCATTATGCCTTAGCTTAGTCCACTACAGAAATAACTTGCTTTTTCAAATGGTCAATTAAACACATATAATTACCAAGCCACAGGAAAAAAAACATCCTTAGTATGGGCCCTTATGCAATAGGCTATCATATAAACTAAGAAACATATTTTAGAATGAGAATATGAGTAGATATACGTAATAAACTTACTCAAATATCATAAAAGCAATTAAAAATAGTATTTATAGACTATGTCTCGTGAAACCAAAACACTATTTTTCTCTAGGAAATGACTTTATTGTGAATTATAGAGTTAAATGCCATACATTCATCGTATTCTGCCTAATTTTTCCCTTTTGAGAATCTATGAAGTAGTTTTAAGTAGCAAAGTCAACAACAGTTAACATGATTAAAATGGCATTTTAGTAAGTATTTTATTCCAACTTGTATTAATGTTTATTTAAAAATATTCTTGCATTGTGAATCCATCTGTTTCTTGCCTATTATGCTACCTAAATTTTATAATCGTAGGACTCAAGGGAGATTTTCACATAACTTTTTTCATGATATAGGAGCATTCTACATTTCATTCCAAAGAAATTATTTGATTCAAACTCCAAAGTAGCTGGGAAGAAACTGTTGATAAAATTAAAAACAGAGACTTCTTAAGTTTAAAGTTTTTTCTTACTGTAAGTGAATATATTATGAATTTCCTTCTCTTGACAGGAAAAAAACAAAAAAGATCTCCAGTCAGTCAATGAGTCACAGTTTTGAACTTTTAAATTTCTCACTAACACAGCAGCAATATTCTTTTGAATATATGACTTTCAAATCACCTTTTAAGCATATTGAAATCAATTAAACAATAAGGATATTCTCATTTACAAAAGAAATCAATCAGCTGTCATTTTTGATTGATTATTCTTAGTTGGAGTGGTATTTAATTTATGAATTTATTACACATTTTTCAACTACTATAAAATGGCATATGAATTAGGAGTGATGTCTCATAGTAAATGGACAAAAAAATTTAGTCATCTCTCAATACATTTTGTGAAGTCTTTCTTGAACCATAGGATCAGCTGTTATTGAAGAAGGTAGGTTATTTTTATTAAGCATTAAATAATATTGCCTTGCTATACTGTCAAGGACAAGCACAATAGCAAAAATTGAACCTAAAATGTGTGCCCAGGGCAAATTAAGCTAACTACTTTTTTGTATGCATATGATATTCAGAAAGACCATATGTGATACTTTTCACCGCAGAAACATGCTTTATATGACCTAAGTAAGCTTTGTGAATAAGGTCACCCTGACATATACCCCAACAACCCTCCACAGGTCACTGACCACTGACATTGTTCTAAATATAAATCAGAAAAATGCTTTCCATATTCACATTTTGAGAACCATCGATAACATAAGTAGTAAGATAGATATAGTCTTCACAGAGTGAATAAGAATTTTATCACTGGCATTGTTTGTAATTACTATAGTTGTCACTGAACCAAACTAGGCCTGGCTGCCTGCACACAATGGAAATCCATCAACACTGAAGCACTGGGTTTTGCAGTGCAGAAGGTTTATTGCAAGTGGACTGGCAAAGGGACGGGAGAAAACATTCAAATCTATCTTCCAGAGCTAGGAGCTGGGTAGGGTTTTATAAGCATAGGGCAATGAGGCATGGTCTAGTTGTTTCTTGGATTGATCTAAGCCAGGGCTCGA